GCCTAACAGCGGCCGCTGTTGGTGTTGGACAACCCTTGGATTATTTCCACGCCAGTGTTTTCCACGACGTGCCCTCTTGTTCACCATGAAAAGATATACACAGATACCCTCAAATGGATTGTCCGTGGGCCTCAGGGGAGGGAGGGTGGCGGTGTATAATCCACCATTGAGAAGAAAAGACTTTACACACCGCCGCCCTGCCTGAAGGCACATGCGAAGTTAATCGGAGGGCGTGCGTATATATACATATATATATATATGTATATATACACAGATATAGACATATATACATATGTACATATGTTATCGTGGCGTATCTTCGAGCGCCCAGAGCGCTGGCCGCCGCCGCCGCCGCCCGCGGCGCCCACATGCCCGGGCGAGAGCAACCCAGTGCCGCTGCGCAGGCGCTGGTGGCCGCCGTGGAGAGCGGGCACCGCGGCGTTGCCGAGCGGCTGCTGCAGCAGGGAGGCCCCCGCGCGCGCGCGCTCCAGCCGCGAGTTTCGAGCACGTCCGCGGTGTTCCGAACTTCGTATTATAAGGGGGGCGGGGGGCCTGATTTTGGCTTTGCTTCGCCTGGGCCTGTGCGTTTTCTTTGTTCCGGCGGGGACCATCGAGGAGCATCCTGAATCGTCTTGGCTCATCTTGATTTCTATATATATATATGTATATATACACATGTACGTAAAAGAACGAACATAGGAAAGATATAATAAGATACTTAATCTGTGCCAGCAGCAAACAAACTCGTAACCGAAAATCGCACAGTGAATGGACGTCCGGGCGAGGGCGCGCTGGGGGGTCTGATGTGAGCTGGGTTAGAGGGCGGCGGTTGCATGGCAGAGGGCCGCCCTCCTCTGGCGAGTTTTTGCTGGGGGGCGTCTTGAACTGCTCGTCCGGGAGGGCTGTGGCCCCTACTCTTTTGCATTTTGAAATCTGGAGTGCCCTGTGTCGGCCGGATCGCTCTGCTCCAGGCCATCACCTTGAACCTCCCCCAGCCTAGGTGCTTGCGCGTCATCGTAGCAGGCCCAGGGACGGCCGTTTGGATGCCTAGGCATGCCGCTGCTGATGCCTAGGCATACGCATGGGCATGCCTACACATGCATCGAGGGATACGTAGCTGGGCGTAGCTCGGCGTAGCTTGGCGAGGCGGCATCGACCTGGTAACGCCTAGGCATCGAATCGGCGATGCCCATGCGGCGGCAGGACGGTACGCAGGGTAGGCATCGATGGTGAAAGGTACCAGAGCCAGCGTACCTGACATATGGCGTCTCGAACGAAATAGAGGCGGACGTTTTCCCTCGTGTTCGGCCTCGCAGGGCCCTGTCCTTGCTGGGCCTCGGGCCCGTCGAAACACGGTTCGGGATGAGAAACCAGTCCCAGAACAGTGGTCGAGAGGCCAGAGGCCCGCGTCTCGAAAAAATCGGAACGCCAGATGGATGTCTGGGCACACGACCCTTGAGATCCTGGGATCGCATTTTGCCACGCCGGGCGATGTTTTGCCTCGCGGGCCCCGGGACCCTCACAAACCGATCCGCCAATGCTATTTTTGCAACGATGCTGCATTTCTTGCTCGTGACTCACAGGCGACTGTTTCCCCCAACCCCCAGCTCTTCGACGAGAAATGAAGCCGCTGAGACAAGGAAGAAAACCCTGGGCTACAACCCAAGGGGGCTGTCCGGACGCACCCCTGGCGAGGATGGACGCACCCTCTTCGTATGTCCCCGGGTCGTGCCACACATTTCCTGGTCCAGGCGAGAGCTCCACGAAGTCCGGGACAGGGGTCGACCTGTCAGTGACGTCGGGCCGCTTGGCCCGTGGCCCTGCGATCTCCGCCATTGAAGTCAAGCAGTTGCGAAGCGTCCCGGTTTGCGTATAGGCCCACCAAAGAATGCTCTACGAACCTTTTGCGGTCTGCGCGAGATGTTCTTAGAACATTTCTGGTTGGGACTGCTTTGTTTTAACACGTCGGTCTTATAGTATAAGAACTTGTTTGGGGTTTCTACATTTTCGTGGTAGGCCTATAGAAATGACGGGACGGTCGGTCCCTGCTCAATGTGGAGGGTTTCTCCGAAGGGCTTAGGCGACCCCTCCTCCTCCTCCTCCTCCTCCTCCTCCTCCTCCTCCTCCTCCTCCTCCTCCTCCTCCTCCTCGTCCTCCTCCCCCCCCCCTCCTTGTGATCAAGGATCAGGCGATCGCAAACATGGATCAAGGGGGCGTGGATTAGCGACGGCCCCGCCTCCACGGGACGTCGCGGATCTCCGCCGCCGAATGGGGCGGCACCGGCAGCATTTTGGGGAGGGCACGTCCCCCGATCCATGGGTGTGGCGACCGCGCGCCAGATCCATGGATCGCTAATCAATGTTTGCGCGCCCCCGAATTAATTAGGGTTGCCTTTCCTGTTCACAGACCTTGGATCGCTGTGTGTATGTGTGCAACTGGGTCGTCTGCGCCGGCATTGGTGACGGCCCGATGCTCCACCACCACTACTGTAGGCAGGAGAGGGAGGAGCAAGAGGAGGAGGAGGAGGAGGAGGAGGAGGAGGAGGAGAACCTCCCCATCCTCTCTCTTTCCCCGTCCTACCTATGGCATTGGTGGTGGAACATTGGCCCATCAATTGGCCATCAATTGGACCGTAAGCTGCACGCGGAAGGTCGCGCGTGAGCTCCCTCGCTTCAGATGGAGCGTGTCGCGCCGGCGGCCCGCGTAAGCCGCCGCGTTCGGTCGCTTTACCATCTTGCGTAAGACCCCTTTTGGATCGTCGCTCACTTGGCATCGCTCGGACGTGTGCGTTTTTACTCTGCGAGTACCATCGAGTAGCACCTCTCCCCATCTTGCGAGCAAGAAGTGCACGGAACCGAAAAGGGCACGGGAAATGGACGCCCAAGCGCTGGCAAGGGACCCGCTTCTTGCGGGCCGGACGAAAAGTTACGATAGGGAAGGGGGTGGGTACGAAATTTGCTGCATGCAGCTGGGTTCCGCCCCGCCGCCGGGCCCATTCTTCGATGCATGGGCGCCTCCTGGCGCCAGGAGGCACCGGGAAAACTGGCTGCTCGAGCTGATTCTCTAATCTATACCCTTTTTGCTATCCTGCACTTTCGTCCCCCCCCCATAGGGAGCTCCACCGAAGGTCCCAGTGGCGGAACCCGCATGCGGTTCCCCCACCCAGCACAGCGCTTGGAGGCCCCATAGGGAGCCCCACCGGAGGTTCCAGGCAGGGTCCGGACTCCGCAGCGCGGTGCCGTGCGCAGAACGTGCGCGTTTCCCGCGGGGTGCGCTCTCTCTGCGCGGGGGCGCCCGCTGCATGAGGACACCGCGGCCGCCCGCGGGCCCGCGGGGCCGTGGATACAGTGGAGACCCATGCCAAGAAACATCCTGCTTGCCTCCAGGGTGCTCTGGGTTTCTTGGGTTTCGATGGTTTTGCGATGGAAGGCGTGACGCTCCCTCGCCAAAACTCCAGGAACGTCCTGGGGTCTCAGGGTGGGGTGTTTCTTGTGGAAGGTCTCTTGTGGTTGAGATCCTACTGTATAGGCTGGACGTGCCATCCCCCCCAGGGGCTGGGGACCCGGAGGACCGAGGTCTGCCCTCGGCGCCACGAGGGAGGGGCGGGGCGGGGCGAGGCCTCGAGGCAGGCCTCGCCCTCGAGAGGAGGGGGCGGGGCTGGAAGGTTTCTCCGAAGGGCTTGAGCGACCCGTCCGCCTCCTCCTCCTCCTCCTCCTCCTCCTCCTCCTCCTCCTCGTTCTCCTCCTCGAGGGGCGGGGCGGGGATGGCGAGGCCCCCAGCAGCGACGAGCGCGGGAGGAGGCTCAGCAGGGGGGGGGGGGGAGCAGCGCGCGGCAGCGAGGGAGGGGCGCCCCCCTTCCAGAGTGCCCTGTGCCTCGACACCGCTCCGGCGCGTGCATGTGGACCTCCTGCGACAAGCGCGAAGCGCGCACGGATCCGAAGAAGGCAGGAGGAAGGGACGTCCGAGCGATGGCGAGGCCCTTTAGGAGGGAGCCGGAAGGAATGGGCCCTCTGGCCCTAGGCCTCCTGGATGGTTGATGATGATGATGATGATGCTGATGATGATGATGAGGATGATGATGCTGATGATGATGATGATGATGATGATGATGATGATGATGATGATGATGATGATGATGTGAACATTCTCAGAGCAGGAGGGAGGAGAGCGAGGAGGAGGAGGAGGAAGAGGAAGAGAAGAGGGACGCGGGGAGACGCCGATTCAAAGCGAGGACCCAATTCAGCGCAGCATGCATGGGAAAAATCCAACATTGCAACACATCACGACCAGGAGTCCCCGACCCCATCCTCCTGCGCCACCTCTCGAGCGAGGGCCCCGGGGCCCGAACCGAGGCGCGAGAACGCCCCCTAGCGCCAGGATCTCAGGCCGCGGCGCCACGCGGGGCAGCTGCCCCTCGCCGCCCTGGCATGGGCTCCGCCGGGTGCCTCGCCGGCGCGCTCGCCGCCGCGGGCGGTGCTGCGGCTGCGATCGGGTGGCGGCCCGGCCGGAGGCGGTCTGGCGCGGGCCCGCAGCAGCAGCGCACCAGCGAGGCGCGGGTCCCGGCCCCGCCGCCGGGCCATTTCGACGTGTGCATCTCGGGGGCGGCCAAGGGTCAGCATCGGTTCCAAGGGCCCCTTTCTCCCCATCCCCATGCAGACACCCCCGCCATCTCAGCACCCCCGTTGGGGATACACCCTTGCAAACCCGAAGGAGGCAGCTTGTATCCCCATCCAGGGGGCGACACTCGGCCAGTGGGGCCCAGGCCACGCCAGTGGGGATCGGATGCTCAAGGAGGGGTGTGATGGTTAGAGGGGGGGATGTCATGGCGGGGGCCATGATATCTTCCCGATCTCATGACCCCCTTTTCTTCTTTCGGCGCGTGCCCCGGCCCCCCTCGGGCCGCGCACATGCCTCGGGCCATTATTTGCACCCCCCCCTTGGATACCCCCTCTTGGACGCCCCCGAGCATCCTGGGCTCCGGCGTGTCCGCTGGCGTGCCGATGATGAATCACGTCTTCCAGGGCGGATGCCCGAGGACGGAGTTCTCGCACCGCAGGTGCGACGGCCAGGCTGTGTGCCTGGAGGCCATGCGCCCCGGGAGCCGGAACGCGCGCTGCAATGTGAGCATCCTGTTGCGCTTCGTGCCGCCAGGGGGCGCGCGCGAGGTGGGCGACGAGAACAGTTGGGTCCATCTGCGCCTCGGCATTCGCCTGTAAGCTGCCCGAGTAAGGTCGCACGTAAGCGCCTTCGTTTCCAATGCAGCATGCCGCGCCGGTGGCCCGCGTAAGCCACCGCGCAAGGTTGTTGTGCCTTCTCGCGCAAATCCCTTCTCTTTTCGTCGCTCAGGTAGTGATCATGGTGGACGCGGGTAAGACCCTGCGGAATGCGTGCCTCAAGAGTTTCCCGAAGTTGGGGGTGCGAAATCTTGACGTGCTCCTGATCACCCATGATCACGCCGATGCGATGATGGGTCTGGACGATCTGCGGGACCTTCAGCAGATGGAGGAGCTGAAGGATCCGGAGACGGGGAAGTCACAGGGCTGGAGGGTCGCTGGGGCTGGAGCCACGCGGATCATCAGCAATCACCAGACACTCCGCACGTCCAGGGCTGCGTTCCCTTACCTCAAGGGCGTGCCCGACTTCGTCGCGCCGGGGGTCACGTATCGGCGGGTGGCGCAGTTCCGGTGGGAGCAGCTCCTCAGCGACAGGTGCGCGCTGGACCTCCACGGCCTGCCGGTGCAGACCTTTCCAGTGTACCACGGTGGGACCTACGTGAGCCTCGGCTTCAGCTTCGGCCGCGTGGAGGGGGTGGGCGGTGCGAAGGGCATCCGGCCTTTTGTCTACATCTCCGACGTGAGCAGCCTGCCTCTAGAGACGGAGGAATGGCTGCGCGAGGCGCCGATCGGAGTCCTCGTCGTGGACGCCCTGAGGCGCGAGCACCACGCCACCCACTTCTCGCTGCAGGACGCGGTGGATTTTGTGCGAAAGCTGCGGCCGCGGCGCGCCCTTTTCGTGGGCATGTCGTCCTGCGAGACCGGCGACCACGACGAGGTCAACGCCGAGCTCGCGCAGTTGGGCGCAGAGGATCAGAGAAGGAAAAGGTACCGATGCCGCTACCGTAACCATTGCCTCGTTTTCCCCTCTGTGGGCCGTTGGGAGGTTTTCGTCACCACCGCTGGATTCACTCCGAAATTATGGTCAGGACGTACCCCAGGAGAGGTCTGGGAAGTAGCGGTATTGGTACCGATTAGAGTCCCCAGAGGAGGGCCTGGACATGCAGCTGGCATACGATGGGCTGATGCTGGACCCGATGCGAACAGCTGGGCCCTTGCCTGGAGACCCTAACGACTGCCAGCTGTGCGAGCCGGAGGGCTATTGAGCGCTGCCGCACGCAGAATATGGACGCCTCTTCAGTGGCGAAGCGTGCATCCAGGTGCGCTGCCGCGTATCCGCCAACTCGCTGCGGAAACGGGCGGATGGGCGGGGGAGGCTGGGGGGGGAGTTCAACAGAGAGTGTTGCCAGAGTTTTTGTGGGCGCATCTTTCGGCGAAGAAGACAGCAGCGTCGAGGTGAGCCAGCGGTGGACGCATGTTGGGCTTGATGCGTTGGGGGGGGGCCTACTGATTGTTCCATAAGAGGGCTCCTGATAATGCAAGGAGCCCGACACACACACACACACACACACACACACACACACACACACACACACACACGCACACACACACACACACGCACACGCACACGCACACACACACACACGATCACGCACACACGCGATCACGCACACACGCACACACACACACGCGATCATGTACACGCGCACTACACACACGCACACTACACACTACACACACACGCACACACACACGCACACACACACACACACACACACGCGCGCGCGCGCACTACACACACACACGCCAGCGGCTGCACGGTGCGGTGGCAGATCTCTCTGTCTGAGCCTTCACAGGTCGCGCTCGGCCTTCACAGATCGTGGTCAGCGCTCGTTTCACGCCCTATACAAAGAGTGCACCTCCTGTGGCGCTAGCTGGGGCCTCTTGCAAAGCTACCTCCGCCTCCCTCCTCCTCCGCTACCTCTGTCACGCTTTCCCCTTCTCCTCCTCTTTCTCCCTCCTACCCCCCCCCCTCCTCCTCCTCCGCCTCTTTCCACCCCCTTCCCCTTCTTTCCATGCCTAACATCTCCCTCTCCCCCTCCCCTCCTTACTCCTCGTCCTCCCGCCCATCCCTCCTCATACTCGCCCCCTTCGCTATCCTTCCCCTCCTTCATCCCCTTCCCCCTTCTGTCCTTGTCACAAGAGCCCTGGCCAGGAAGCTGGATACAGTTGACGAGGCAAGCCTGGTCGAATCCTGGATTGGACACGTGTCTGCCGTATGGACAGGTCTGCCGGGCTGCCGGCCATCCGCACGCACAAGGGGCCCGTGCAGGGTATGCGAACCCAGCTTTGTGGCCGTCCAACCTGTCGGTAGATGATCCGAGAAGCTTTTCGAACACTCTAAGAATTTCCTCCCCCTCCTTCCCCTCCTCCACTCCTCCTCCTCCACTCCGCCCGCCTTTCTCCCCATCCTCCTCCCCATCATGCACTCCTCCTGATCCCTCCCTCTGCATCCTCGTTCAGGAAGCCTCTGGGGACTTCTGAGAGGCTTGGACAAACATCTGACAGCGTCCGATCCGAAGTCTGTGGGGCATCTAGGCAGACCTGCGCCTCTTCCCTCATCCCTTGGTCGTCCAGACTTTTTAGTCAGACGGGTGTGCAAGCGTGTATTCGTTGCATGACATCTTCGAGAGAAGCTGGTCACCGCTAAGCAATATCACATTGGTCCCCATGTTAACGCTGACCAGGAGGGAGGACGAAGGGGAACGACGAGGTCAGATCTTGAATGGCCCAGGGGTATATTCTGGGCGTCGGGGTGGTCTTCGCGTAATCACGGCTGGGCGCATCTCGAACAGCCCGTTTGGACAGCGTTTGGGGAAGGAATTTTTGGGAGCGAATGCGCGCGGGAATGCTGCCTGCAGCCTCTGGCTCAAGCCCCTTCGATCCTCCTCCTCCTCCTCCTCGTCCTCCTTATCCTCCTCCTCCTTGTCCTCCTCCTCCTCCTCCTCCTCCCCATCATTATCCTCCTCCCTCCTCCTTCTCCTCCTCCTCATCATCATCCTCCTCCTCGTTCTCCTCCCCCTCCTCCTCCCTCTCCTCCTCCTCCCCCTTCTCCTCCCCCCCCTCCTCCTCCTCCTCCTCCTCCTCCTCCTCCTCATCATCATCCTCCTCCTCCTCCGCCTCCTCCCTCCCCCCCTCCTCCTCCTCATCCCTCTCCTCCCTCTCTCTCCTCCTCCTCCTCCTCCTCCTCCTCCTCCTCCTCCTCCTCCTCCTCCTCCTCCTCCTTCTCCTCGCCCTCCTCCTCAGTCCTCCTCCTCCTCCTCCTCCTCCCTCGCCCTCCTCTCAGTCCCCTCCCTCCTCCTCCTCCTCCTCCTCCTCCTCCTCCTCCTCCTCCTCCTCCTCCTCCTCCTCCTCCTCCTCCTCCTCCTCCTCCTCCTTCTCCTCCTCCTCCTCCTCCTCCTCCTCCCTCCCCATCATTATCCTCATCCCTCCCCCTCCTCATCCTCCTCCTCCTCATCATCCTCCTTCTCCTCCCCCTCCTCCTCCCTTTCCTCCTCCTCCCCCTTCTCCTCTCCCCCCCTCTTCCTCCTCCTCCTCCGTCTCCTCCTCCTCCTCCTCCACCTCCTCCTCCTCCTCCTCCTTCTCCTCCTCCTGCTCAGGCCAGTTTGTACGTCGGGTCGGGCGTTTCGCTTGTGAGTTCCTCACCGTTTATGACCCTGTAGTTCAAACATTTGTAACAGTTTTACATATAGAGGGAGGGCCGTTTTCAAAATGTGGCTCTCGCCTTAGCGCCTCGCATATTCAAGTTCACAAAATGCAAGAGTTCCATGACTTGAAGGCGGGTGGTTTTCAAACTGTAGCTTTCGCTTTAGCGCCGCGCACATTCGTTTATCCACTACCCCAAAACATGTGCAATAATTTCACGGGTTGAGAGCCGTTTTCAAAATGTGGATCTCGCCAGGGCGCCGGGCACATTCGTTTTAAGCTTTGTAAGGGTATGTGGCTCTCGCCTCAGCGCCGCGCACATACGTGTTTAAACTTTGCAAGCGTTTCACTGGTTCCCAAGATCAACTTACCAGAGAGTGCGTTTTAGAAGGATTCGGGATTATGAGGGCGCATTTGGTACGTTGATTCCCGGTGTTGAAGTTTCAGGAATGGCGTTTTGGCACGGTTCCGGATCGTCAAGACCCAACAGTCAGGTTGATCCTTGGCGTTGGAATCCCGAGAACCATGTTTGGGCATGATCCAGGGTCTTCAAACGGTTGTCTTCCAACGAGGCAGTTTTCTTTGTGCAAATGAAGCGTTTTAGGGGCCTATTAAGAGGGAGCTTTGAGGGCGGGTTGATTTTAACATCGTTGATGACTCTTGGATTTACCCTGGCCCTCCTCCTCATCATCATCATTATCCTCCTCCTCCTCCGCCTCCTCCTCCTCCTTCTCCTCCTCCTCCTCCCCTCCTCCTCCTCCTCCTCCCCCCTGCTCCTCCTCCTCCTCCTCGTCCTCCTCCTCCACCTCCTCCTCTTCCTCCTCTCCTCCTCCTCCTCCTCCTCCTCCTCCTCCTCCTCCTCCTCCTCCTCCTCCTCCCCCTCCTCCCCATCCTCCTCCTCCTCCTCCCCCTCCTCCTCCCCCTTCTCGCCATCCTCCTTCTCCTCCCCCTTCCCCTACCCCTCACCATACGAGGGCCCAGGTCTGCCATGGCCAGGCATGGTGGGTGTACGGTAGGTTCGCGTCGTGTCCTCGCGGCGGCGGTCCCAACCGCCCCTGGATCGGCTTTTGATGGTCCAGGGGCCCGAAAACTGACCCCAGAGGGCGAAATCGAGGAACAACGCCGGGACTCAGAAAATCAGACCGCCAGACCCACGTATCTGACTCCGACGCCGTGATCTGTGCACAACGTGGACTCCTGAGGCTGAGGTCTGGACCTGTTCCCCAGGGCCAGTTTTTCACCCTGGGTTGCGGCCCTTCCTTGGGCACTTTCGTTGGCCGCGTTGTGCTCGAAAAACTTCGAAATGGCCCTCCAAGGCTTTGCATCCGTACCGCGCATCCTTCTACACGGGTTGACTGAATCCCTAAATAGATCCCGGCTCGTCCAAGATACCCATTCTTATAAAAGATCCCATGTCACATCCCAATCCATGGGAGAGGTTCTCCTTATCCCTATCCCGATCCCACCGTCGTCGCTCCCATCCAAATCCCATGGTATAGGCTATCCCGATGCCGTCCCATCCCATGGGATAGGCTATCCCCATCCATTTGAGGGTACCTCATGAGCCGGGATCCCAGAAGGATCCCAGCTCATCTTATTTTCAAACAGTGGCGAAGCGTCCTGGCTCGCCTATAGGCCCACCAAAGGATGTTCTAGTAACCTTTTGTGGTCTGCACGAAATGTTCTTAGAACATTTCTGTCTGGGAAGATCCTGGTTTAACACATCGGGCTTATGTTTTAAGAACATTGTTTCTGTTCTTAGAACATCTACGGGTTCTAAGAACATTGCGTGGTAGGCCGGTAGAAATGCCGGGACGGTCGGTCCTTGCTCAACATATACGGCCATACATCCCATTTTCTTTGTATCGTTCGAGGTCCCTATCGTTACACCGCTACACCATCCCTCGCCACTGGTCCAGTCTTCTCTTGGCCTGGACTCTGCGGCTATGGCGACGAAGCCCGCCGTACCAGGTGCCTCTGCGTGCGCCATGGCCTGCGCGCCGCCCCGCGCCGAGGCGGCGCCCGCGGCGCGCTCCGCGGCCACCGACAGCGAGGCGTCTGTCGCTGTGGCGGTGGAGGGGCCGGGCTGGGCGGCGGAGGCGGCGAGGCCTCGGGCATCCCAAACGGGAGGAGGAGGAGGAGGAGGAGGAGGAGGAGGCGGAGGAGGAGAATGAGGAGGAGGAGGAGGAGGAGGAGGATGGGGGATGAGGAGGAGGAGGAGGAGGAGGAGAGGAGAGGAGGAGGAGGGGAGGAGCAGGAAGAGCAGGAGAGCAGGAGGAGCAGGAGGAGGAGCAGGAGGAGCAGGAGGAGGAAAGTGGAGAAGGAGGAGGAGGAGGGGGAGGGGGAGGAGGAGGAGGAGGAAGTGGAGGAGGAGGAGGAGGAGGAGGAGGAGGAGGAGTACAAGGCGGGGTCCGAGCTTGGCCCCTGACTTCCTCGAGGTGCGAGTCCCGAGGATCGCGGCCGGCAAGGGCCGTCGGAGACCCTCCTCGTGTCCACGGCTGGAGGCAGCTCGATCCGTTTGGTGCATTTGGACTCTGGCAGGGGTCTGGGGACCCGTGGATGAGATCGAAGAAGAAAAGACGATTTAAACATGATTGTTTGGCGCTCCGCGCGGATGCCTTGGATCCGCGTTGGGCCCCCCTGGCGGCGCCTCCGAAGCCGCCCCTGGCGCGCTCCGCGCGCTGGGGAGGGGGGTCCAGCGCAGATCCAAGAAATCAGCGCGGAGCGCCAAAATGTTGTGTTTATAGCGTTTTGTTGTTCTTGAATGAGAGGAGTTTGACACCCCCTCGCGTCGTGAAGAAATTTCGACGGGAGGTTCGTAGTTTTTGGCCTCCAGCCACGAGCCCTTGCTGTGCCTCGGAGCTGTCAAACGCGGATCAGGATGAAAAGCGCCCCCCCCAGGCATGAGTCCAGATTTCGTGGTCCACCCCATTACAACGTCGTGCGTCGGGGGTCTGGGCACATGTGGTCGGAGGATCGCGCCGCATCGCTAGTGCATCCGCGACGCGGCTCGATGTGGAGCCCGATTTTCTCCACGCCGAGGTCGCTGATGCGTCGCCGACATTGCGGACGCATTGCCGATGCATCTGTGATGCACCCTGAGATCCGACGACGCGAAACAATGCAACATCTTGAAGAATCTCGGCCGGACCCCCGGACCACATCTTTCTACTCATTTTTCACAGACCGGTTCGATCTGCAGGGGTCCCGGGGGCCCGAGTCGTGCCAAAGCGTGCGACTCAAACAAATTGCGACGCAAGGAGTCGAGTAGGTGATCGAGTACATACTTGATTGTCACAAAAAAATGAGGTGTTCGTCGGATCTACGAAGGAATACATAGAATGCCCCGTGTATCTACGAGCAGTACACGTCTGTTCCGCGACTTCGATCAGAACACCATTTTTGGGAGGTAGATCGATTCTGTAGTCGATCCCCTATTCGAAGGATCGAAGGGCATCGGCGATGCGGCACGATCCCCCCGACCCCAGCCAAGGCTGGACCTGAACAATATTTTGGCCATCTCGTAGGCCGTGTTGTTTTTCGTCTTGTGTTGCATGCGAGGCGAAGCGAAGGCAAACCGAGGAAGGACGAAAAACAAAACGAAAACGAAAAACGCCGTTTGGTCGGCGTCACCCCAACATACGTATACTATATGTGCTTCGCCCCCTCAGGGGCGACGCGCGCACCGAGAACTCTTATAGTATATGTGTCGTGGTGGGCGCTTTCTGGCCACACAGCTCGGGAAACGATATACTACAAGATGGGTATACTATATGTTCCGGTCGGACGTGCGCCTCCAAGGCGGACATTCAGTATAGTATGTCTCATTGCGTCCCATTCGGGTTCAGCCCCGACCCCAGCTGCTGGGCCTCCGTTCACTGCTTTGGGGGGCCTCCGGAGGCGGCTCCGGAGGCACGGCTTCTGCGTGCTCACGGGCGGCCCGGGCCGCGGGCTGGCGCCAGCCGAGGCGGCGCAGAGCCCATACAGCCAAGACGTTGAATTGGGGACAACTCTTCATTGAGGGTAAAAGTCGGGTGTAGCCAGGACCCCAGGTAGGGGGACCCGGTTAGTGGTAGGGCTCTGGAGCCCTTCAATTGGCCAGAATCACTAAACAAGGCCTGCCCTAGCTGGACTTTTTCGGGTGATGGCAGTTCAGGTCAGTGGAACGGGGTGGGGGTGGCGTCCCCCAGTACACATCACGAAAACAGGTCCCACTAATCCCAGTTCTGCCAACGCCCGAAAAAGAACCCCTAACCGTGATACGTATCACGATGAAGACGGAACCTCACTGAGGTCCGCGTCTTTGCATTAGGGGCACAGGGGGGCTTCGATACATCTGCAGAAAGGACCCCCTATTCCTAATGTGTTCGGCCCTCCTAATTTCGGTCCCCTCTCATAGGGTCAGGGGTCCCTTTTATTACTAACCAACTTTTGGTACAGAATAGGGAAACAAACAATGACATGAACATAAAAATAACAACTCGGAGGTCTGCGCGGGTTCCTCGGATCGGCGCTGGGGGCCCCTGGCGGCGCCTCTGGCGCCGCCCCTGGCGCGCGCCGCGCGCCATGGAGAAATCCGCGCGGACCTCCGAGTTGTTATATCCTACCTAGGCTCTGCCTAGAAGGGTTCTTACTCTCTTAGCTTAAAGGGGCCGGGCAGTGGAACACGCCCCGGGCGGTTCCCCCAGTCCCCTGGGAGCGGTTCCCCCCAGTCCCCTGGGAGCTTTAGCTTTAGGTTTAGCTTTAGCTTTAGCTTAGCTTTAGCTTAGCTGTAGCTTAGCGTTTAGCTTAGCGTTTCGCTTAGCGTGTCGCTTAGCTTTTCGCTTAGCGTTTAGCTTAGCTTTAGCTTAGCTTTAGCTTAGCTTTAGCTTAGCTTTAGCTTAGCTTTAGCTTAGCTGCAGCTTAGCTTTAGCTTAGCTTTAGCTTAGAGTTAGCTTAGCTTTAGCTTAGCTTTAGCTTAGCTTTAGCTTAGCTTTAGCTTAGCTTTAGCTTAGCGTTAGCTTAGCTGTATCTTAGCTTTAGCTTAGCTGTTGCTCAGCTTTGAATTAGCTTTAGCTTAGCTTTAGCTTAGCCTTAGCTTAGCTTTAGCTTAGCTTTAGCTTAGCTTTAGCTTAGCGTGACTGTTACTACTAATGCTGGTTTCCTAGGGGTTCCAACTTCTAGGCAGGGTCGCACTGGGATAATGTTTATGTCAGTATTCGTTTCCCTACAGAATGTCGAGGGGAGAAATATTGGGACCATGACCAAGATGTCGCTGGATGTTTTGTTGATGCCGATCTTGGTCATGGTCCATGTCGGCCGTCGCCGATTCGCGAGGATGATCTGCGAATTGACGCTGACCAAGATGGACTGTGACGAAGATCGACACTACGTTTCCGCACTCAGTCTTGGTCATGGTTCCCGCCCTGTTTCCCTCTAGAAGGGGCTCTGGTTTACGGGACGTTCCTTAGAATTGGGTCGGGGCACGCATTCGTGGCCGAGACTCGCCGTGGCCAAAGCAGCTCCTCCTCGTTCCTCGCGCAGCGTTCCTTCTGCTTGCACGACGAGTGGCTGCTCCAGTCTGGGCTCTGTTCCTCGGCTGCTGCCTCCGGCGCCCGTTTTCGGACGCGGGGCCGTCAGCCGTCGTACATAGATCGGGGTCGGAAAACCAGCCTTGGGCCTGGGCCAGGGGCCTCTCTGGGGCGACGGATGGGACAAACAACCTACCGCTTCACATCGTCGGACGTGTCGCGGCAGACGGCGCCGTCGCAGGGCCCTGGGACAGTCGAGCAATTGCGCTGCCGAGGAAGCACTGCGTGGGCATTTCATATTGCACCCTGCTTTGTTCGAATTCGCTATGGACGTGTGTCTTTGTGGTGCGACGCAGCGTTCGGCGCCGACTTCCCAGTGCAGCGCCTGCCACACCGTGCGGCCCTGGCAACGCCCTGCGACCATTGCCAGGCGTCGAGAAAATGCGACGCTTTGCGACGTTGGCGCGCCTAACGCTCCAGCCCCCTGCGGACCTCCTCTGGTGTAGAGACAATGCCGCATCTGCCACGCTTGGTGACATTGGCGCGCGCTGCGCAGCAAAATTACCCGAGACGTGCCCAAGCCCTTCTCCACTAGAGGCGAATACTTCCATGAACGCTCCATGCAAATAACATGTCAAGTAGACACGATCTGCGCTGCCATCATCTCCGCCGTGCCTCCAAGGAGCCCACGAAAGAGGTAACAGTCGCGCAGTTCGCAGCCCCCGAGGGAGCCGCGAAGTCTCGAATGGATCTGCGTTGCCCTCCACCTCCGCCGTGCCTCCCAGAAGCCCACGAAGGTGGCGACAGTTACGCAGTCCGCCGCCCCCTAGGGAGTTGCGAGGTCTCGGCTGGATTTGCTCACTCCCCTACTCCGCCGTACCTTCCAGAAGCCCACGAAGTGGCGACAGCTGCGCAGGTCGCAGCCTCCCAGGGAGCTGCGAGATCTCGGCTTGACCTGTTTACCCTGGGGACCCACGAAAGTGGCGACAATTGCGCAAGTTGCGAGGCTTCGGCTGGATTTGCTTACTCCCCTACTCCGCCATGCCTCCCATTAGACCGCGAAGGTGGCGACAGTTGCGCAGTTCGCAGCCTCCCGTCTCCCAGCGAGCTGCGAGGTCGCGGCTGGATCCGTTTATTCCGCCTTTCCGCCGTGCCTCCCAGGAGCCCACGAAAGTGGCGACAGTTGCGCAATTCGCAGCCCCCTAGGGAGCTGCGAGGTCTCGGATGGATTTGCTCACTCCCCTGCTCCACCGTACCTTCCAGAAGCCCGCGAAGGTGGCGACAGTTGCGCAGGGCGCAGCCTCCCAGAGAGCTGCGAGATCGCGGCTGGACCCGTTTACTCACCTACTCCGCCGTGCCTCCCAGGAGCCCACGAAGGTTGCGACAGTTGCGCAGTTCGTAGCTTCCCAGAGAGCTGCGAGGTCCTGGTTGGTCCGTTTACTTCACTACTCCGTTGTGCCTCCCAGGAGCCCACGACAGTGGCAACAGTTGCGCAATGTTTAGCCACCCAGGGAGCAGCGCAGGCGAAGGCAGGAGGAGGGGGAAGGAGGAGAAGGAGACGCGACCGCGGTGCTCTATTCAGAACGAGAACCCAACACTTGGAGGAATCGGGAAACAACTTCCGTCCTTCCTCCCTTTTCCAACCTCCTTTCTCGCTCCTCCCTCCTCCGCTCTCCCCCTCCTCTCCTCGCTCCTCCCTTCTCGCCACCGTGCCCCGCGGCACGTAGAGGCCCAGCTGCGACGCTCTGGGAGCGCCGGGACCGACGGCGCCCCCACCCCCTGCGCGCCCCCTGTGGTGACGCGACATGCAACGCTGGCCACGCTCTGGGTGCCTACCCATCTCGAATACCAAGAGCGAATACCTTAGTAGGATAGATCGCGGCGTGTGTCCGAAGCGCTGAGCTTCAAGCTTGGTTATCACTACGTGATGGCGGAAGTCCTGGAAGTCCCCACCCCTAGCGCACCCCCTCTGGCGTCTAGGAGGTGCCACGCCTGCCACATCTTGCGACCCTGAGGCGGATAGCGCCCCCATCACGTGCGGACCCCTTGCGGCGTCTGCCACGCTTTGCGACCCTGAGGCGTGTAACGCCCCCACCCTGCGAACTCCTTTTCTGGCGTCGGGAAAATGCCACGCCTGCCACGCCTTTCGAACCTGAAATGGATAGCGCCTCAACCCTTTGCGAACCCCCTGTGGCGTTGAGAGAATGCCACGCCTGCCATGGTTTGCGACCTTGAGACGGATAGTGCCCCGCCATGCGGATCCTTTTGTGGCGTCGGGAAAGTCCCACTCCTGCCCCGTTTTGCGACCCTGGGACGACTAGCGCCCCCACCCCCTGCACCCCACCTCTAGCGTACTGAAGGTGCTACGCCTGCCACGTCTTGCGACCCGCCAGGTGAACACTAGCGGTTTATCGTCCTCCCTCTCCTATTTGTGTGCGGTGTATTTGTGTGTTGTGTATCTGTGTCTTTGTGTGCATGTGCGACTGCATGCTAACTTGGGGTCTGATGCACGCCCGATTGCAGGTGAGGAGAAGCGGGAGGGGGGGTGATGTGAGGAGCCGCGTGCGGGACGCGGGTGGGAAGGACACCATTAAGCACTGAGCATGTGGGGACGCATCCTGGACGCAAACCCGGCCCCCCAGGAAGGGGTTCAGACCTCAGGGGGCTCATGACCAAAATAACGACGTCGGGGCTGTGGGGATCTTGCTCGGGCCCTCTGGGCTTCGGCCAGAGGGGCCTGTGCACCGTTCCCAATGACGGGCCGCGTTTCCACCACCACCGCTACCATAGGTAGGAAGGGGTGAGGAGTTTTTTTCCAGCAGTTTCATTTCTCACGTGGTGAGGTAGGTAGGAAGGGGTGAGGGAGGAGGAGAAGAAGGAGGGGGAGGAGGAGGAGGAGGAGGAGGAGGAGGAGGAGGAGGAGGAGGAGGAGCAGGAGGAGGAGGAGCAGGAGGACGAGGACAAGGAAAAGGGCCTCCCCATCCTCCCCTCTCCCCCGAGCTACCTGTGGTAGCGTTGGTGGAAAATAGGCCCCACACCCCAGGGCCCAGGATGGCCCTGGCCAGGCACGGTCGGTGACGCGCGGGCGCCCCCCCTGCGCTGGAGAGGTGTGCGAGCGGGGCGCGGGGGCCGCCCTGGAGCGCCTGGGGCAGCTGGCGGGCCTGTGGCGGCAGCTCGGCCTGGACAACAGCAGGCCCGGCCGCCGCTCCTGGGAGGGCGAGATTCCGCATCTGCGCTGGCAGAGCGTCGGTCGAGGCACGCGCCGTGCGGCGCCATCCCGCCAAGCCCGGTCCGATCCTGCGTGATCCGGCTTACTCCCGTGCTGCTACCCCGCCTGAGCGGCCCCTAATGCGGGCCAGATAGCCTTGCATCGCTACAGTCGGACCGAGGTATAAGCTCGAGGTCTGTTCGGGGAGGGTACCCCAATGTTCTTCGTGCTAGTTGGATGTTCTCGTGCATCCTGGGGAAGGTGTCCTTTGGTGTTCTGTCTGTTTGCTTTGGCCGACGGAGGGTCTCATATCCTTGAGGGGTGCTCCTCTGACCTAGGTCCAGCTGTATCACGAAGACCTCCCAGGAGTTGCCTCTGACAGAGCAGGTTCGGTAGCAAATCATGGGAGCCTGGTGTGCCCTCTTCATTCCGTTTTTAGCGTCGATCAGCGCCGAGGAGCGTCTGGGAGTCGATGAGATAGCGCCGATTTAGCGTCGGCTAGCGTCGACCAGCGTCGATTCGCAAGAGCCGACAAGATGGCATGGGAGGCTCCCAGGAGTTGCCACCGAAAGCAGGGACAAGGTCCTGTTCTCGGAGGTCTCCGGCGGCCGTTCGGGACGATCCAGGCACGCCCGGAACCCCCTCGGCGAGGCGCAGCCGCTGGAACGTAACTGTCCCGAGGCCAGGATACCGCCGAGAACTGACGAACACGCCCGACAAAAACCCGACCTCGCATCTCGAACCGTCCTCCCTCGGAAGCCGGGCGAAGGCTGCTAAATCCGTGGCTGCTAAAATCGACCTCCGGGAAGTTGTCTTCGTCCTTCCGGGAAGAAGTCCGTTGATTGCTTCGCGTGCCGCGCCTCATTCCGGGAAGTTGTTTTTTCCTTCCGGGAGGGCCGTTTTAGCAGCCACGGTTTTAGCAGCCCTCGCCCAGCTTCCTACTCCCCTCGCAGGGACAAAGTCATGTTCTCGGAGGTCTGCGCCCGGAGGCCCGGCTGCCGCCGCTACGACGTCTCCCTGGCGCTGGCGGGGCTCCCCGCCGACGGGCCCGGGCCGCCCGGGGAGGCGGCGGACCCCGCCTGGGGCGAGCTGCAGGGCCACATCGACCGGTGGGCTCGGCCCGTGCTGCGGGCTTCCGGCCTGCTCCGGCCAGGCTGCCAGGCTCCTCCTCCTCCTCCTCCTCCTCCTCCTCCTCCTCCTCCTCCTCCTCCTCCTCCTCCTCCTCCTCTACCTTCTCGTCGGCCTTCTCCTCCTCCTCATCCTCCTTCTCCTCCTCCTCTTCCTCCTCCTCCTCCTCCTCCTCCTCCTCCTCCGCCTCCCCAGGGCGACGGCGACGGGTCGGAGGGCGTGGGGCACCAGGACCGCGCCGGTTGCGTGGTGAGCGAGCCAGGCGCGCCTGCGCAGGACTTCCACCAGGACGGGATGGAGCCTGGGCTCGTGAACGCGTTCATGCCGCTCGTGCCCGTCGTCGCCTCGAACGGTCCCACCGAGTTCCGCCCAGGCTCTCACCGCTCCGCGTGGGACTTGGATTCGGGCTCCGACGGCGGCTGCGCGGCGGACAGCGACGAGGAGAGGCCTGCGGTCGCTCCCGAGGTAGGCAGGGGGGACCTGCTACTCTTCGATTACCGCGTGTTCCACCGCGGCCTCGCCAACTGCAGCGCGGAGCCGCGCCCCGTCGCCTACATAGTGTACGCGCGGCACGGCCTGAGCGATCGCCACAACTTCCCAGACGCCTCTCTGGTCGAGGCTGTGGCGCGGCTCCCGCCGGGCGACGCTCAACAGAAAAGTCAGCGTGGGGGCTTTCTCGCCCCGCAGATCCATCCTAAGTCTCGCGCGACGCTTTGGCTGGCTCGTGGTTGCCAAGCGTCGCTGCCTGCATCACCCGTGGTGAGCAGGCGGCGGGGTCTTGCGAGGGGGTCGCGGCATCGTGGGGGCGCAGCCCCACTGCCCCAAACGGGTAGCACTGGGGCTGGGTGGAGGAGAACACGCTTACAAAGACTGGCGCAGGTTTGCATCTCTGCGCAAGTGTGACGTGGAGCTGATGCGTGGACAACGTTTGCCAGCGTTGGCCCCAAGCAGCGGGTCTTGCACTTTCGATGTGCGCTATGCGTTGTACACTTTACGTGGTGAAAGCTGCGTCGTACCCACGCCGTGCAATGGATTGGGGCGATGTCTGTGGTGCAAGCCATGTGCTATAATATATATATATATACATATATGTATGAACATATCTCTATGTTCTGTATAGATATAGTGGAAGTTGCGGGTGCTTTTTTTGTGGTGGAAGCTATGAAGGCAATCTACGTCATGCAACTAGTTTGTGTCATCTCCTGATTCGTCAATCCCATTGCTCGCGCAACCATCCCGCCCTCCCACCCGCGACTTGTTTTACAAAACCCATGCGGCCGCGATCGCGATGACTGCTTTGCCCTGGCTGGTAAACCTTTGCGGCCGCGCTGGCGCGAGCAAGCTCGCGCGCAGAGCGGCCAACTGGTTTGGCACAACCCATTCGGCTGCGATGGCGGTTACCAGTGGCAATTTCCCACGATGGTCCGCGGGCGCTTCAATGCGGGGCGTTGACTCGGGCGGGCACGGTATCATGATTACGTCGGCACCGGCGGCAACGATGATGATAGTAACGATGGTGGTGGCGATGGTGACGATGACGACGGCGAGGCCAACGATGGTGCCCATGCTGGTGGCGAGTTGATCGATCATGGCGGCGATGACGGCGGTTGTCGATGGCGGTGACGTGATGCGGCGGCGCTGATGAGAGTGATGGTGAAGAAGTGCGCACGCAAAAACACCAGAATCCTTGCCAACCATTTGTTACCAAGCACGTGTTTGTGTGTTCACCTGCTGTTGACGAACTGTATGTTGATTTTCTTCGAGAGCCAACGGTCCCAGCACAGTTTCGACACGCGCGTGTGGCGGCGCGCGCGTGTGGCCCGCATGGTAACATGTGATGTGGGGTCGCGCAGCAGTCGCATGCTGGATCAACGCGGATACACCGAGCGGTGAGATGAGAGTGAGGGATCGGATGGTTTTAGCAGCAAGTGCCCGCGGGCTGAGCACCTGCACGATTTGGAATGGCACGCCCACGGTTTTTTATGTCTTTATGTTGAGATGTTTGCAAAGTTGGTGGGTTCGGTATGGCTTCAACATGTGCGCGCGCGTGGGGACTACTTGTTCGGTTGCTGTTTTTTGAGACATGATCGATTGATATAAAGATGTGTGTGTGTGTGTGCGCATCACATTCTTGACAAAGATTGGGGGGCGGGGGGACGATGCAAGGCTTGGCTTGAATGGTGTGAGTTCAACTGGAGAAGAACCGATGAGGCAGAGCAAGATGTAATTTGCAGTGTCCGCGGGGGGGGGGGGCGACAATTCTGGGGGAGAAGGGAGGGTGATGGAGTGTAATCTTCTTTTGAAAGAAGAATCAACGGGCTGTAATCTGAGGGACGTAAGGATTTGTGAGCCTGCGCGTGCGAACACCTCCTATGCTCGGAACACATCCTACCCGTCCACCCGCTACATGTTGTCCAAAGTGTCGAGGCCGTTATTCTAGCTACTGATCTGAGTTGTTCTGCATTTTCCGACCCGCGCAATTGCGCGCGGACCTTTTTTGTGTAGACCCCAACCTGGGAGTTTGAATGATGACCACGACGACCACATCGGCGACGGCGGTGATGATGATGGCCATGGTGGCCGCGATAATGTCGAGGGCGACGGACACGGCGACGACAAGACGATGGTAATGATGACGACGGCGGTGATGATGACCATGGCGATGGTGATGGTGGCGAAGCTGGTCACGACGATGGGCGCGCGATGGGTGAACAGTCGGGACTGGCTTCGCTGAACACCTGATTGCCTGCATCTGTGTCTGAATACGCAGCTCCATCCTGAAATATTTCAGCCAGCTGTGTTCGGATACGTTTGTGTAGGAACGGGCGCGCGTGTGGCCCGTACAGCATTACTTGTCAGAGAAAGCCCGGGAGATCGACATTTCACGGTGTCCTGGAAGTGCGCATATATTGTTGAATGAAGTCGGCACGCGAGAGAATGGCATGAAACATATGAAGCAATCTGTCTTTCTGTTGAGTTTAGCAAGTGTGTGCACATACTTTCTTTGCGCGTTGTGTTCATTTGAACCTGAAGAGCACCAACTTGAAACGCTTGAGGAACCAGTAGTTTTGACATGATTTCGACTTGCGCGCGCGCAAGGGCGCGGTTGTGTGACCTGCGTGGTGTTGTCTGACAGGGCGTGTAGCATAACACGGTTGCTAGATCAACGCGCGCGCACCGCGTAGCATTTTGTGGACACATGTGTTGGGGGAGGTCAACATTGGCACGGATGGGGCATACGCTGTCTAATCTAGGATGAGCCTCCGCGCTGGAGTTTTACTATGGAGGAGTCCCTGTGAGGCAGTGGTGTAGTGCAAACTATGGGATGCATGTGGGGCAGAACTCCCAGGAGACCCACCAGCGCAAGAGGTTTGCACGGGCGCCCATCAACCGAAAACGTAACAGGTCCAGCCCGCGCACGTTGCGCCTACGAGGTGTCCACAAGCGCCCACAGGCGGAAGCCTTGCAGACCCAGCCAGCTTGAAAGGCGCCCACGAGGCTTCCACGACGCGGGCAACGGACGCCCACAAGCCGACAACCCCCCCGTTCCAGCCAAGCACTACAGACCACATCAAGAACCGCTGAGTGCAAGGCTTGCTTTGGGGGAAGACTCCGGGGCATCGGTTCTAAAGTGGGAGTTTGTATCTTGTATAAGGAGCACATTTGGTGGACCTCCTTCTCGTGCTTGCGATCCCACGAGCCACGTGCCCACTTCCCCGCCTGGGACCGTGGGTCTCTGCTGCCGTGGAGCACGGCGGTGGGGCGCCGTGGGGAGGCAGGTTCCCTGTCCTTCCAGGAGGGCCAGAAGATAGCACCAGCTCGTCGACGTCCCAACTCCTGCCGAGGTCTGAGGCAGTCCAGATCGATCTGTAGGTCTGGAGTGCTATTGTTTAGCACTCTGGAAGGCCAGGGTCGTGCGCGGAAGCGGGCGGGTGGGGCCAGGCGTCCAGGGGCCAGGTGCCGCAACGGGGCCTCGGCCTCCGATCCCCGGGGTGGGGCTCGGACCTCCTGGGCGTCCCCATCATGAAAAAGGTCACGGCGCTGGGGGGTTCGGGCCCGCGCTTTCTTCGCTCGCCTTTCTTCCTCGTTGGCAGCAAGGAGCAGAGGAAAGGATCGAGTGTTGGCTCGTTGGCCCAATCCTGGCAGTCCTGAGCGTGCGCACGGCAGGCCTGGACGCCCATCCCTTCTTCGCATCCGGATGTCGAGCTTGAGCGCCCTGTGGCAAGCCGGCCACGGCTCCCAGTGGGCCGCGGCATCCGTTGGAGGAGGAGGAGGAGGAGGAGGAGGAGGAGGAGGAGGAGGAGGAGGAGGAGGAGGGGGAGGAGGAGGAGGAGGAGGAGGAGGGGGAGGAGGAGGAGGAGGAGGAGGAGGAGGAGGAGGAGGAGGAAGAGGAGGGGTAGAGGAGGAAGAGGTCGAGGAAGGGTGCGCGAGCCCCGCCGTCGCCCCTCCCAGCGCCGCTGGCCCCGCGCCCCGAGTGCCCGAGGCGGGGCCTCCCTCCGGAAACGTGAGGCGTGGCGTCTTCTCGGCCCGCTCCGGGCGGCCCCGAGGGCGCGAGGGCGGCCCTGGAGGGTTTTTCCGAAGGGCCTAGGCGACCCGTCCTCCTCCTCCACCTCCCCCTCCTCCTCCTCCTCCTCCTCCTCCTCCCTCCTCCTCCTCCTCCGCTGTTTCCGCTGTTTGCCGCGCCATGAAGGTCTGTGCCTTGCAGCGCCACTCGGCGGCCGAAACCGCCGCCAGAGGAGGGGGGAGGAAAGCCCGTCCCGCCCAGGCGCGCGGGGCGGCGGAGGAGCGGGGGCCAGGCCTGGCGAGGCGCAGAGGCCCCGCGGAGGAGCGGAGGAGCGGAGGAGCGGAGGCGCCAGAGGACCCCGCCAGGAGGAGCAGAGGAGAGCCTGCCTGGGCCTGGGGAGGAGAGGGGCGGGGTCCAAGGGCCAAGGCGGCAGTCCGAGGGCCTCCGAGAGAAGGGGGGAAAGGGCCCCACTGGGAAAGGGAGGGGGAGAAGCCTCGGACTGCCTCGAGATGCAGAATTGGGATGTGGCCCGTCGCGCTGCCGCCCAGGATATCCGCCCCTGTCCAGCAGCTTATCCGTGCCTGGGCGGCAGCGCGCAGGCGCTGGGACCAGGTGGGCAGAAGGCCCACCTGGTGTGCCTCCCCCTAACCCCTCCAGAGCCAGAAGGCCAACGACAAGGAATCCCTGGGCCAGGCCGTGGATAAGGGAGCAAGAAGGGGGTTAAGGGGGAGGCACCAAATTACGGTCCCTAGGGACCCCTATGTCGCGGCCCCCTCAGGCGCCGTCGGCCGCGAGCTCGCCGAGCCTCGAGAGCCGCGCCCTCTCAGAACTCGCCGTGCTGGTGGTCCTGCACTGATCCTTGTCGAGGACGGTCTTGTCGGCCCACCCCCTCGCCTCGTCAGCGAAGTCGGGGCACTCCTCCGCCTCGATGGACCACGTCGGTAGTCCACGATCTTGAGGTACCGCCTGATTGTGTTGTCCTCGATCTCGCGGTACTCGACTCAGTCGTGCTGGTCGAGGTAACTCTGGTTGACTCTGCAGTGCCCAACCTTGTGGCCCCCGACTCAGTCACACTAGTCATCCTGGTATGGCTTGACTCTGTAGTGCACGAGGTGTGGTTCTCGACTCGGTCGTGCTGGTCATCGCGATACTGTTTGTGACTGTGATGCCAAACTTGTGGTGCTCGGGCCAGTCATGCTGGTTTAAGCAGTGGCTTGCCAGCTGGCCCTCGAACCTGTGGTGCTCGACACCGTCGTGCTGGTCGAAGTGGTAGCGCTTGGCTCGGTGATGCTCGAACCTTCTCCATTCAACTCGGTAGTGCTGATTGAGTGGTACGCTTGACTCCGTGATGGTGAGCTCTTGGTACTGGGCTCGGTCGCGCTGGTCGAGTGGTACTGCTTGGCTGCGAGGCGCTCGAACTCATAGTGCTCGACTCAGCCGCTGAGGTACTTGTCGTGCTGGTTGCGGGTCGTTGGGAGGTCGGCTTGTTGCTGGTGATGTGGAATAGGTTGTGGGCGCACTAGGGGCCTCCATGCACCGACTTCAAGTGGGGTTCTTGGCGGCCCCACCTCGTCCCGCTATGGCTAGGGGTCACGGTGCCCTCGGTGGGGGCGAACCCCAGGCCCAGTGATTCTTCTGTTGTCGATGAGGAATATCTCGGCTGCCCTATGCTTCGCCCATTGGGCGCTCGGGAGCTCCTTCTCCGCCGTGGGAATGGTGGGGGTGGCGAGCTAGGGCGGACCGCGGGGGCGCGGGTAGTTGCGTCCTACCCCCCCCCCCCCTGCCCCTCACCATCCCCCCTGGTGGGCGCGGGCAGTGCTCGTCCTGCCCCCCCACCCTTCGAGCCCGTCTCGAAGTTTGATCCTTGCCTCACCAGGGCAGCGTTGACTTGTGCATGGTGTAGTGGGCATGACGTCTGGCTGGTACCTCTGAGCCCTGGCTGTGCTGCTGCTATGTGCATCACTGCTGCAAAACGTGGCGACTTGTGCCTGGGGTGTTCCCACGCATTCGGGGCTTCCCCAGGACTTGCCCCCTGACAACTCGTGCAAAACTTGGCGACGTTGCCTGAGGTGTTCCCTCGCATTCGGGGCTTCCTCAGGACTTGCGTCCTAACTATTTTGTACGTGTCGTCAAAGCTCTTCGTCGCGTTCATCATCATCAAACTGTGCTCGATCAGCATTCATCGAGTTGGTGGTCCTGCCCATAGCCTTGTCGGGTCGGTCCTGCAGGGCCCACTCCCTCGCCTCCTCCAACCAGGTCGGGGCGCTTCCTCGCCTCGCTGGGCAGCGGTGGTCGTCCCGGCCCATCTCCCTGGTCTTGTGGTGGTCGAGCGGCTGGAAAAAGTGGGCCACGTCGTCGTCGATGTGCCATCCGTTGGCATCGCTGGGCGTCTCGCCAAAGCGCCATCTTATCTGCTTCATCAGCGCCGTCGCGATGGCCTGGCACAACCTGTTCGGGTACTCCTTGGCCGCCGTGGTGCGCCACTGGCCGTCGTCGTTGATGCCCGCCAGCTCAGCGTGGTAGTTGGACGTGTGTAAGCACCTCCCGCCTCCAGGCAGCCAACTTATCTCCGAGCGGAGAGTTGGGAGGGATACCGCCAGAAGGCTTGTGGACTTCCTCGAACGCGCCCCGCAGGTGCACTGGTCGAAGGTGATCAGCTCGACTCCCTGCTGGCCCAGGAGGTGGCGCGTCTCGGGGAGCCTCCAGGAGCTGGCGAAATGCTCCTCGGTGGGCTCGCACGGGTGCTCGAGCATGCATGGGGCGCCAAGGTTGAGGCGCATGTACAGGAGCTCCAGCTGTGTCCTGTATAGGCGATTGCCTGTCGCTACTTGTTCCATCTCTGGTCGGGAGAGGTAGCGGAGGCCCCACAAGCTGTTGCTGCTCCTCAGGGGTCTTGGTGGTCGACCCCTGCAGGCGTTGGGGGGCAGGTGACGCGCTCGGCTCCAAGTCTCGCACGGTGGTCCGCCGATGACTCCTGCCAGCCTCCCTGCCTGTGCCATGCTTCGCCACTTGTTGACTGCAACTTCTGATGTCAGGTCGCCGAAGGTCGGGTCGTTGGCCACGTCCAGGCTGAGCATGTGTATGTCGCATGAGGCCCGGCTGCTTACGCGGTCGAACCAATCCTGAACGTCTCCCTCTCGGCGGCGACCGCTGAACAGATGCAGCGCGTCTAATGTCCGAGCTGGCCTGGGCCTGGGTATAGTAGCTGGCGGCGGCGGCGGTTCCTCGATGAAGGGGAGCTCGAGGTCCTGGTAGTTGCCGCTGTTGCTGTCGTCGCTGTCCTCGTCCGTGTGTATCTCTGGAGGGCGAGCAGGGACTGCAGGCTTCTCTGCCCAGTCAATGGGCCTGCCAGCCCTTCTCTTCGCCTGCTGTTGGTCCCGCACCACTTGCTGGTGGTGCTGCAGCTCGGATTTGCTGAGAAGCGCTGGACGTGTCCTTCGCCAGTGTCGAGCGCACCTGCGCGCACGCAGCAAGTGCTTGACCAGTCTGTTCGTGGTGTGGTAGTCCATGCCGCATCCGTAGCAGACCGAGCCCGTTGCCCACGAGATGGGATGCCCCGACGAGGTGTGGTCCTTGGTGATGTGGGCTCGTAATACTGCTGCACTGAGCTCTGTACGTCCGCAGTGATAGCAGAGGTACTTTCGCTGCTGCTCGAATTGCTTGTCTGGGAAGGGCGAGATGGCTTCCGTGTTGGTCCAACGCTGGAGTCGTAGCCGCCATCGAGCGTGGTGGTCGCGATCGTACTGGCGGGCTTTGCCGCGTTGGCAAGCTTTCTTGACTACGCTGAGGTAGCTTTTGTAGTCGTTCCTGGCCCAGTCCTTCCAGTCGTCGAGTGTGTATGCTCCACCACGCTCGTCAGGTCCTGTGTGGTCGCGGACCCAGTCTAGATCGCGGCGGAGTAATGCCACCCATCCATAATTCCCGTCCCATGCTTGGCTGAGTAATCGGCGGAGGTGTAAGGGACCCCAGTTGAGGCATCTACCGAATAGCCGAAGTCTCTCGAGGCGTAGGACGATGTCGGGGGGCAGCTTGTCGACTCCTTCAAGGATCTGGGTGTTCGTGACCTCCTTCTTCTGTCGCACTTTCCATGTAATCCTCTGTGCGGCAGCGTAGTTCACGATGTACTGGTTGTTGAAGTTCCTGGCCTGGCCTGCTGTGAGTTCGGGTCAGGTGGACGCGTTGTATAGCAGCTGGGATAACACACTGTCGGCTAGGTAGGCCTTGTCTTTGACGGCCAGCTCTGAACGACGATGGACTTCACGATGGAGAGGCCGCGTGGATGTCGCAGCGGTAGCTACTTTCACTGCGACATCCACCCCAGGAGATGCGTTGTCGGCTACGTAGGTCCCGAGGAGCTTGTGGTGGCGGACTACCTCGACGTAGCTCTCCGCGAGGGGGGCCTCGATCCTCGGCACTCCATTGGGATAGAAGTTGGCCCGAGCTTGCCGGCTTCCAGGCCCACTGAAGTCGATCATCACCTTGGTCTTGGCGAGCTGCAGCTGGAGGCCGAAGGTGCTGGTGGCGCAGTAGACGGCCTCGCAGAACCCCGTGGCCTCGGTCTGAATGTGGTCGGGGCTGGTGAACACGTGCATGCCCGTGAGGTCATCGACGAACGATAGGCCGTGGGGTTCGTGCTCTTGGAGCGGTCCTTCTAGTGGGTCGGTGGCGCATGCGAAGCTGCTCTCCAGGGGCATGCCCTGGGCCCTGAGCCCTCGCTGTGCCAGGTAGCTGTCGATCATGCGGTGGACTCGGCCGAAGAGCAGATTGAAGTCCGCGCCGGCGAGGGGCACGCCAGGCCTCGTTCCATTGTGCGGCGCCATGAAGCTCTGGGAGAACCTGTGCGATGTCCACCTATTGCGATACCCTTCGGCGATGAGGGCAGCCAGGTGGGAGCCATCCAACACTGTGTCGAGAATCCCTGGGTTGGCCATGAGGTGCTCCAGCTGCGGCTGGGCCCATAGGGGAACTTCTAGGTTGTCTAGCGCCTCCCTGACTTCGTCCTCTTCGCCTGGGATGCCGTGGACCAGCTGGACGACAACCGAGTAGAAAGCCTCCTTTAAGTCATAGCAGCTGATCATGGAACACTTCCCTTGGGCCTGGCTTCTCTCGGTGAAGAGGCGCGCTGCTAGCACTGCCATGTCAGCCCCTCGCTTTGGCCGGCCGCCAACCTGGATGTCCTCCAGCGCTATGGCGAGGGTGGTGTTAAGCATGGCCCTCAGGTATTCATGGTGGTGCTTGCCCAGGACGTTGTTTAAGAGGATCTCGCGATCGGCTAGGAGGTATCGGGGGTCGCCCTTGCCTTTGGGGATGGCGACCAGATCCCCGCCCTTGAAGCTCAGCGGCTCCCGCACCGTGGTCGCCACCTTGGTGAGGAGGGGGTGCAGTATCGCGGCTGCCACTGCAGGAGCCGCCCTGAGAACGGCGTTCGTGAGCCCGTCAGGGCCTCCTTGCGCCCCAGCCTTGGCCGCGGCGAACTGGGCCTGGCAGACGTGCAGGGGCATCACCATGGAGAGATCCAGCGTTCCGTCGAAGGGCCTGGTCTTGCTGTCCTGGTTGTACTTCTGGGCAAGGTCGTCCGCTGACACGATCTTGCCTGTCTGTATCTTGGCGAAATGGTTGGGCTCCTGGTCCGCCATGTCCTGGGAGTTGTGGACCACCTCCCCATCCTTGTCGAGCCTCATCGGCTTTCCCGCTGGAAACCGCGCCTTCCTCCCGCCGTACCTTAATAGGTCACGGTCGGCCTTCCACTGGGCCGCCGCGTCGTTCGCCGCAGAGGCGGAAGACGCAGTTGAGGCTAGCCGGCCGAGGAAGGCGCTTCGGTCCTTCTCGACGGCCGCGGCAATGAGCAGCCCAGACCTGGTGAGGAAGGAGTGGATGGCCATGGCGTAGACCATGGGCGAGATCGTCCAGTTCAGGAAGCGGTGCGCATAGTAGTGGATGTCAAGGATGGTGCCATCGTCGTCGCCACGCTCTGTGCTCCACAGGGCCAATGAGGCGCCGACCTCTCCTCCAAGAAGGGAGTGGGCGTGGGCTACTAATCGTCCAGGTCGGTCGTCATGGGCTTCTGCTCTGAGCACTGCACGATGGACTCGAAGTGTGAGGCACCTGGCACGGATTAGGCCCATGGTGGCCTTGGTGACGTAGGGCTTCCTCGCTGCCTTGACGGCCTTGCCGAAGGCCTGGATGGCCGCGTCATTGACGACTCTGGTGACCTCCTCGCAATGGGTGTTGACGTCCACCTCCCAGGGGATGATCGGGGCCTGCTTGAGAATCTCTTTAAAACTGGCCTTGGCGTCATCGTTGTTTAGGTTTGTCAGGTCGGGCCGCGGCCCTGAGGCCTTGGTGGTCTTGCAGACGGCCCACTTGAGGGTGGCGATTACTGGCATGTGGTCTTGTGCAGCGGTGCCTCGGTCAAGACCTGGCTCCGTGCTGCAGCTCGCTACGTACGGGGCGATGGAGGAGCTCAGCAGGATGTAGTCGATCCTGTGGCACTGCCCCTTAGATCCAATGTGCGTGTAGGAATTGTTTCCTGGATCCTTCGTGGTGTTGGTGACCTCCATGTCGGTGTCGGCTGCGAAGCTAATGATGTGCTTGCCATTGCCATTGGTCGGTTCTGGGTGCCCGCTGGTGCCAACTCCTGGGGACTCGTAGTCGCCGATACGCCCGTTCAGGTCCCCCATGAAGATGTCCACGTGGTACTTGGCAGACAATCGCTGAGCAGACTCCCAGAACTCTGTCTTCTCAGCCGCCTGGGAGTCTTCATGGGGGGCATACGCCCAGGCGATGGCCATGTCCGTGCCTGCCACGCGGGTCTTGATGATCAAAAGCCTGTCTACTGGTGGAGGACAATGGTATCTTTGACACTTAGGTACCCCGCGACCCCACCCACGCTGATCGGCTGGGAGACGTTGAGCCAAATGTCGCATCCTCTGTTCTGCTGCGTGTGGCCTGAGGAGTAGCATACCTATTCTCCAACGTTGCGGACGTCTCCGTCGCTCTGCGTCTCCTGGAGGGCCACCACGTGTAGGCCCATATCAGAAAACTGTGCCGCTAGGTGCGTAACCTTGGAGATTCTCTGCTTGCTTTTGCTGGCCGCCTTGCCTTTGCCCGACTTGAAGTTGACGGCGGCTTTAAGGGATCTGCAATTGTAAGTGCACAGATTCAAGCAGAGGTCGGCCTTGATGGTAGTCGTGCTGATGGGCCGCTGGATCGCGCACTGGGCTGCCTGGGGCTGGGTGGCTCCAACGATAAAAGGCTTGGTTCCGCATGGGAGGGTAGGCGGCCTTGACTGCATCGGGCGCTGAGCGTAACCATTCCCAGGAAAGGAACTTGTTGTGCGCGATCGCTTGCACTGCTGCAATGTTCGGGTCCATCAGGTTGGTGGCCGAAGCTTGATCTGCTACCCCGTCTGCAAGCTCGTTCCAACGGTGGCCAATCTGCGAGCTAATATGATGCCACTGAGTAGGTCGAGCTTCTTGGAGGAGGCCAGCAAGCGAGCGGATGGCGGCCCCCAGCCTTGGATGTACGTGGCATTGGGCTTCCCCTTTGGCCAGGTTGATGACGTTGAGAGCGTCAGACGTGATCTCGATGGGGGCGGTGGTGCCTTGACCAAGAGCCCACATGAGTGCCCGCAGCACTGCCGTGAGCTCGGCCGTATATGCCGCCACCTTCTCGTTGTTAGCCATGTCGTGTAGAGACTCGGTGACCTTGCCAGCAATGAAACCCCGAAAGCCGAACGGGCCTCGTGAGCTACACCCGTCGTCGTACTCGTCGACAATGATTACTGCCCAGGCTGCTGTATGTGGGATGCCGTTGTAGCTGCCGTCCGTGTAGATGTGTGCGCGCTTGGTCGGCAGCTCGCGTGATGGGCACATCTCCAGCGCTAGCCTTGCCATGTTGTGGAGGGTCGTGGTGTCGACGTCGGCGCAGACATTGACGCGGCCTCGGCCTCGCAGGGTCTCTGCTACTGATTCTTGGCTGAGAACTGGTAGCACTGCAGGTTGGCCTCTGCCTGGTGCTGCCATAGTGGAGGGCTGCCGTTGCCTTCGGACGCGCCTGGCTCTCTCAGCACTGACGTGCTCGGGGGAGTACTCGACGCCGTCGTCTGCCACTGATCCCGTGACATGTAGGTTGGGGCTTGGTGCGCTGGTAGCACGGGCTGAAGGTAGCTGCGATGGCACGGAGTGGGTAGTCGGAGCGAGAGGCGAGACCCCAGCCTGAGACTCACTCCGCTCCAAAGGTAGAAATGGCGGTTGGTGGTTCCCCTCATCGAAGTTCAAGTTGTCCGATCCAGCCCGCACGGCCTGACTGAACAGGAGCTCGTGTGATTGGGCATGGAGCATGCTGTCACGTAGACGATGAGGTTTGCCAGCCCGGGCGTCGGGGTGGTCAGTGGCGCCCATGCCGTGGTGGGAGCCAGCTGATGCCGAGGTGAGCGTTGGCTTCCACCTGCCTGGTCGTGGTGAGCGGTGTGGGTTCGTCGGCGCTGGAGCCGCTGGTGATGCTGGATCCGCTTGGAGGTCGCTGGACCTGGTTGGACACCCCAACACGACATCGCTGGCGCGAGGGCACGGCTTCGACCACCCTCCCGTCGGAGGCATGCCCTCACGCCTACGCACCTGCAAGGGGGAATGATCCCGCAGCTGCTCTGCCCTCTGGGGAGCAGGTCCGCCCGTCGGCGGCCTTACAGTGTGAGGCGACCCCGCGCTAGCGCGCCAGCTTGGGCAGGCCCTAGTCGGCATTGTGTGCTGCTCTGGCTCGGCTATGTCTTGAGGATGCTCAGTGGGTGGGTGGTGGGGCTTGGTACGTTGGTCCAGCGTATGGGTGTTGGTTGGGGCAAGACTGGCTTCTTCGTCAGGCAGTGCTGTGGCCGTAGGTGGGATGCTGCGTGTGCTGCTGCTCGGTGGTGGCCGAAGCGTTGGTCTCCACCGTGTGCTCTGGGCAGTGCAGCTGCCGTTGAGGTCCTGCCTCGGGCACCCTTGGACGTCGCCCCTGGCATGGGAGCAAGGCATCGACCACCCTCCCGACGGAGGCTTGCTGCCAGGCCTTTGCACCTGCAAGGGGGAACGGTCCCGCATCTGCTCGATCTTGTGGGGAGCAGATCCTCCCGCCAGCGGCCTTGCAGTGTGAGGGGGCCCCGTGCACGCCCGCCAGGTTGGGCTGCCTTCTTGTCCACTTGATTGCTGCTGGTCGCTGGCGTGGCTGGATCGGGTGCGGGCGCTGTGCCCATGATCCATCACCAAGGCTCGGTACTGGTTATGAGTGCTGCTGTCGTCCCGACCACTGTGGCGCTCGGCAGCACGCCGTGCACGGCGTGCTCGCCTCTGGGCTGATCGGAAGGCTGCAACTGCTCGCGCTTGCTTCCACTGCTCATACTGTTGCTCCGTGCCAGCCTCGCCCTCGCTGCCACTCGAGCTTTGGCCATCGAGAAAGGTCCTGTCAGCTTCCTCAATCTCGTGGACTCGGATGGCGGAGGGAGGCGTCCTTTGTGCAAGGGCAGCCGGTAACGCATCCTTGCAGCCATCTCGGTGGCTTGTTACCTGGAGTGCTGACTGCCTGACGGGTGCGTCACTCCTCCCTGGTAGTGTGCCTCCTTCGATGCCGCCTGGCGCCCCTCGAGACGCGGCGGGCGGCACTCGTGTCGGCCGTGGCGGTGTCACGTTGGCCCCTCGAGACCCAAGTGACTGGGAACGCTCATGTTGCTGGCTGCTGCGTTTGGGAGTGGTCCTCTCACTGCCAACGCCAGCTGCGGTAGCGCCCCTAGTTGGAGTCATGGCCCCTCGGGACCCTGGACTCCTCGGAGTCGCTGCTCTGGTAGGTGAAACTGTCGCAATCTCTGCTGGTCCATGTCTTACTAGACGGCTGTCACAAATTGCCCCAGGGCCCGCCGTGCTTTCAGGCCTCTGGTGGTTGGTAGGTTGAGCATCGTAGTGGATGACCCCACTGCCGTACTGTAGCCCTTGGGCCCCGGCTGCTCTCCCCAATGCTGCGCAGGAGATCGATGCTGTCAAGCTGATAGGAGAGCGCGAAGGAAGCCCGCATCCGTCGTGCTCTGCCCTGTCGGACTCATCGGCCGCCTCCTGGCCGTGAATTCTGTCATGCATGTCCTGGTGCCTGGCGGCGCTGCTAGGCCCCCTCCCCCCCCCGGCGGGGTTCGGTGGGTTCTGCTGCTGCCTGCTCCTCGGCTCCAGGAGCTGCAGGAGGGGAGGGGGTTGCTGTGCCCCTTGCCTCGTCCCTCCTGCGGGCCACTCGGCCACGAAAACGTGCTATGCCTGTCTCACCCGAGTCTACCCGCTGACCCTTGTGGGCCTGGCTGATGTCTTCTCCTGGAAATGCGGGCGCGGGTCCAAAGGCCTCCTCAAGGGCTGCAGCTGCGGCGGCGGCTGAGGTGTGCTGGCGCGCGAGGGTGTCGATGCCCTCGTACTGCCTCTCGATGCTGGCTGCTGCCTCCTCCGCGCTCTGCTGGGATGCATGGGGAGGGGTCAATGCGAAGCTGTCGGCTCCCTCTCCACCGCCTTGGCCGCGCTGCTCGTCATGCCCGATGGGTACTGTGGGCGTGAGAGACCTCTCACTCAGAGGCGCTGGCGAAGCTGGGATGAAGATCACCTGGGATGCTGTCGGAGTGGGAGGGTCGCCTTGCTCTGCTGGTACCGAGCTAGCCCTTGAGGTGGATGCCAGGTCCGTGTCTGCCTCGTGCTGCGTGACTCCCCTTCATCTCCTCACATTCCTCGGGTGTGGGGTGGTCCTGGCTCCAGGGCGGCCAGCTGGTGGGGTAGACCATCGGCGCATGCTCCGAGCAGTCGTCAACCACTTGGGAGTCTTGTGAACCACCAGGGCCGAACTGGGTCATTGGGGCCTCCTCGTAGTAGCGCCTTTGGAACTCCCCCGCCTCGTGATCCCTCACTGGTGACTCCAGCTCCTCCCCCATCTGCACGGCCTCCCATTGCGCTTTCGCCTCCTCCTCTTGCTTGCGCAAGACATCTTATTCACGCTCGTACCTATCTGCCTCCTCATGCGGGTCGGGCCTGTCGGGGCTTGGACCTATTACGCTCTCTGTGCGAGACAGCGCCTTCGTCGGCCTGGCGGGCTGCTGATCTGGCTGACCTGACTGATGCGGGCCTCCGAGGCGAGGAGCTGCCCTGCCCGCGGCCCCTGTGGGCTGGGCGCTCCTCAGCTGCACCAGTTGGGAGAAGGGTCGCAGCGGGCGGCACCGCTGGGGCGGGAGCTGCCTCGGCTGTGCCTCTAGCCTTCTCGTACAGGCCGGCGGCCTCCTGGTAGTCATCCATGGACTCTTGGGATGTTGGGAGGTGGCCCCCGTGGACGAGGTGATGGGCTGCCCTCTTCGTGAAGTCGTAGCCCTCCTGGCCGTATTGCCTCATCTCGGCGTACAGGTCGACCATAGCTTTGCGTTCACGTTCTCTGTTGGCTGCAATGGCCTCCAGGCTCTGCATTCTTAGCTTTAACTCCTCTGTCTCGGACGCGCCATGCTTCTCTTTTTTTTGCGATGGCGTCGAGCTCGGTGTGCAGCGTGCGGGATCGCTGGAGGCTTTCTTGCAGCGCGAGGTGGATGGCCTCCTCCCTGCCAGTCCTCTGCTGGCTGGCGAAGTCTTCCATGGCGGAGGCCTCCTCCATGCTGGCGATCCTGAAGGTGAGGGCCTGGGCGAGCTCCTCCTCCAGCGCCTGCTCCTGCACCTCCGCGTTGGACCTCTGCTCGCTCAGCTGCACCGCGTAGCTGCTCAGCTCCTGTCGCAGGCCTTCTGCGTGCAGCTGCAAGTCATGTGCATTCGCCTCTTCTATCATGACTTGGCGGGTGAGATGCGACCGTATTTGCTCGGCACTGCCTTCAAGCTCCGCCCTCATTGCCTCCTTATCCTTCAAGCTGGCCTTCGCTATCTTCTCCTCCTCTGCTCTGGTCTTTAGCAGGGCGAACTGCAGTGCCTGCAACTCGTGCGGAATCTGCCGCTCCTCGTTGGCGCTCCTCAACTCCGCTGCTTCGTGGTAGGCGACCTGGACTGCACGATGTGCCGCACCCGCCTCGAGCTTGGAGTACTGCTGGAGCTCGTGGATGCGGGCCTCAGCTGCCTCGAGCTCGCTTTTGGTCTGCTTGAGCCGATCCTGCTGCCGTACTGCTGTCTGGATGATCCCTTGCAGCCTGGCCGCCTCTGCCGGCGGCAGGGCTCCTTTTCCTTTGGCGTTGGCGACTACCTGGCCCTGGGCGATTGCCTGGACCCTGGCTGACTCAGTGGCAGCCTCGAGCTCAAGCGCGTGGTCCTTCTTGACCTCCTGTAGCTTCTCCTCCATGACCACCTCCTGCCTGATGAGCTGCTGCCTGAGTGTGCCAGCTGCAGCTGTCGCTTTGGCGTTCTCGTGCTGGGCCTGCCGCGATGCCTCCTGCGCCTCGGCGCGTGCCCGCAGTAGGTCTTGGTAGACCCTATCCTGGGGCTGTGGCTGCGCGCGGTGCTCCGCACGGGCGCTCTCGAGCTGCTCTCGCAGGTGATTTGCACGTTGGGTCGCCGCCTCGGCCTCAGACTTGACTTGGCTGTATGCTGCATCATGGCTGATCAACCTGGCCTCCATCTGCGTCTCAAACTCAAGCTGCTCAGATTGCTGCTTCTTGATCTCGTGGCGGAGAGCCTTGTGTTGCTGCTGCTGCTGCAGCTGCTGCGCTACATTCTCCGCTTCGGTGGTGCGCTGCAGCTGCTCTGACTCCTCTTTCAGGGCCAGCCTGAGCTTCGCCTGCTCTGCGTTGTGGCGGAGTGCCTGCTCACGGGCGACCCCCCTGACTTCTGCCTGCTCAGCAGCGAACTCCTGCTCGGCTTCAGCATGGCGATGCTGTTGATGTGCTCGCTCCGCGTTCGCCTTAGCCACCTGATCAGCGAAGCCTCTGGTTGCGCTGCCTGCAGAGCTGGCTCTTGAGCGTGGCGTGCGCCCCGCCGCTCCCGCTGGCCATGCTGGAGGTCCGTCCCCAGGTGCCTCGCTGTTCAGGCGCCTGTCGATCACGGCCTTGTGGAACGTATCCCAGCTCGGCGCCAAGCCAAACCCGTCCGTGTCCCAGTCGCCCTCGTCGTCTGCCGCGCCGCCGTCGGCGAGCACCGCGCGCACGTCGGCGATGTTGGACTCGACCTGCCTCAACTCCTGCTGCTTGGCTTTGAGGTCGTCCCGCAGCTCGCTCGTCTTGGTCTCGAGGGCGATAACTTCGAGCTTGAGGGCCTTGCGCCTTTTGCTGAGCACCTGCAGCTGGTCGTTCGGTCTCCTCGTGACCAGCTTCTGATACTTGATGACCGCGATCTCCATCAACTGCTCCTTCGTGCTGTCGCCCGCGGCCTGCTTGGCAATGACCAGGTCGCCAAGCTTCCTCAGCCTCTGGTCGGCGGTGCTCAGAAACTTCTGGATGCCTGCACGGTCGGCCGGGGGCGCCTGCCACTTTGGGTGGGTGGTGGCCTCGTCCAGCGTGCAGGCCGCCACCGAGTCGATGACTTTTTGAGCTCGCTGGTCCGCTTTGCCGGAGCTGGCCTGGCCACCCTTGCCCACCCTGGGCTGCTGCTGCTGCTGCTGCTGCTGCTGCTGCTGCTGCTGCTGCTGCTGCTGCCAGGGAGGCTGACTGGGCTGCTGCTGCTGCTGCTGCCATTGGCGAGGGCTGGCCTGGCCAGAGCGTCGTGGCCGCGACGGCTCCCTGCGCCAGGGCGGGTCCTCACCTGCTGGCTCGGCGTGCCAGTGCTGCTCTCGCCAGCCAGCGCCATGCCACCTCTCCTGGCGCCATAGGGGCGCTGCTGGCGGTGCTGCTTCCTCCTGGGCCTGGCCCTTGCCGCTGCGGCCACCACTGCCTCTGCCCTTCCCGTCACGGGCCATCGCTGGCCGGGCAGAGTGGTGGGCGGCCAGGCGCTCGGCCGCTGCCCGCAGGCGGAGCAGGAGCCTGTCCTGGGCTCTCTGCTGCCGCTCGCGGCGGTGGGCAGCGCCCTCTGGACCTCCTCCTCGGAGATGTCGCGGCGTCCCGCCGCTGGGCCGCAGCGCGGCCGCGAGCGCCGCGGCCTGCGGCAGGGGACAGGGAGGCACGGGTGGCCCCCTGCCGCAGAAGATGGCGCGCGGCGCGCGTGAGCCCGGCCTCGGGGGCTGGCCGATGCGCGATGCGCCCTGCCACCGCGATCGATCGGGCGGCAGGCGCCGACCGACCCCGATGGATCGATCGGGATCGGCTGGCCCGCAAGAGGCCAAATGGCTTCCTCCTCCTCCTCCTTCTCCTCCTCCCCCTCCTCCTCCTCCTCCTCCTCCTCCTCCTCCTCCAGTCGCCTACGGCCCCGGGGGAAAACCGTGCAGGCGGCCCCCGTGGCTTGGCGTCGCTCAGACGTGTGCATTTGGTCTCGGTGAGAACCATCGAGGGGCATATTGGATCCCCTTGCGAGAGAGAAGAAAAATACGCACGAAGTCGGAAGAGGCACGGGGGATGGAAGTGCGAGCGATCGAAAGGTGGAGGCCCGAAGCTGTGTCAAGGGCAGTTCTGCGAGGTCACGGGCAGGGGCCAGCCATGATCACCGAGGCGGAAGCCCAGCCGTGGCGACGCGCGGCCTCGAGGAGGGCTCGAGGAGGGGCCAAAAGCCGCGCCCGAAGCCTCGACACCGTCGTTCGCGCGCGCATGCGCAAGCCGCGTCGCGTCGCGTCGCCGCCGCCGAGGGCAGTCGCCACGAACGCAAGGGCAAGCCGCAGGTACGAGAAGAGATCTTGCTGTAAGAAATCTTGGGGCACCCCTAAGATCTGAGCGTTGCAAATTCTTCACAACAGGCGATCTCGCCCAGCTTCGGGCCCCAGGACCCTCGCCGATCGACCCCGTTAAGCAAATGCTGCACAGAGATGGGGTCTATAGGGCTTTTCGGGAACTGCTGTCGATCTCTGAGGGTCTATAGGATGCCCGGGGACCTTCTGCGGATCCCTGGGGCAATCGCTGGACCGAAGGCTCGGCGGGGCACCTGCTGGCAGGCCCATCTCTCACATCATGCGCCTGCTGTGCGTCGACGAGCCGCCTTTGCCCTCTAAGGAAGTCCTGGGGCCTCGCGCGGCGCGCAGTAGTTCTATCATCTAGTCCACGCGTCCCCTCCGTAACATGTGGGTCGACGTTCGCACGGCGATGTTCCGGCGTAAGGTCAGAATGAGTCGCAGACGTGAATCCGACGTAAACACAGCGTGAACCCGACGTAGATCCGATGTGGATCCGACGTGCACGGGGTCTCGAGTTGCCGCGCGAGGTCTCCAGGAGTTTTCTCATAATTCGTCCCCCTCGGTCGCCTGGGCCACTTCAGGCACACAACCGCTTCTTTTGACCCTTTGGCGATTTCACCACCTCCAAAAGGTATTGCGTGACATGTTCATCTTGCCATTGCAGAATGTTCGCTACCCAGGAGGTCATTGCTAAACACCATTGCTGTTGGATGGTGGGAGTTATCCTGGCGAAGGACCCAACCATATGCAAGTGTGAGTACCGCGTTGTGGGTACCGCTGTCGGTGGAGCTCCCCATGGAGCGCATGCGGTTGCGGCCACTGGGGCCGTCGGTTGAGCTCGCCACGAAGCGTTGTACTGGGTGAGGATGCGGCATGCGGCCGCGGCCACTGGAGCCGTCGGTTGAGCCCCACATGGGGCCACGAAGCCTTGTACTGGGTAGGGGAGACGCATGCGGCCGCAGCCACTGGGGCTTTCGGTGGAGCCCCCTTATGGGGCCACGAAGCGTTGGACTGGGTGGGGCGGACGCATGTGGCCGCGGCCAATGGGGCCGTCGGTTGAGCTCTCTATGAGGCTCCGAAGCGCTGTGCTGGACGGGGGGGACGCATGCGGTTGCGGCCACTAGGGCCCTGCGGCCCTTGGTGGAGCTCCCGTAGGGCCACGAAGCATTGTGCTGAGTGGGGGGAGGCGTATGTGGCCGCGGCCACTGGGGCCTTTGATGGAGCTCACTACGGGGCAACGAAGCGCGTGAATGCTGTGCCGAAGCGGTTGTGCGAGGGCCGGAGGCAGTGCTGGGGGGAGGGAGGATGAGAGGAGAGGAGGGGGAGGGGAGGGGAGGGGAGGGGAGAGGAGAGGAGAGGAGAGGAGAGGAGAGGAGAGGAGGAGGGGAGGACGCGGGGCGCCATCTCTTCAAAGCGAGGACGCAAAACCACAGGATGGTTGGGACAGATCCGTCGCCGGACCCCGCCCTGAAACGGTGACCCCGCGCCGCGCCAGGCGGCGACATCTTCGGGGACGCCTGGGGCCCCGAGGCGGCGGGGTCGCGCCGGCCGGTGGGCAAGACCAGGCAGCACAACAGGGCCCGCCTCGATCCGATGGATCCGAGTCGGCATCAATATCTGACTGGCAGCCAGCCCGATCCGATTCGATTCCGATCGTCCAGCGGTCCGATGTGGCCCGATGATTGCATGGCGTTGTTGTGCACCCTGGCGCGGAGCGCGGCGGATTCGACGCAACTCCGACGTCATGCCGATGTGAACCGATCCGACGTTCATTCCGGCTCGATCCGTGTTCCCGATTCGATGTTGGCTGATCTTGGCACAGAGATGGCAATCAATCAATCAATCAATCAATCTATATATATATATATATATACACACTCATATCTATGTATGTCCTATTGGAGGCCATCTTGGCCATCCTGGAGGCCATCTTAGGGCCGTCTTGCATGACAGGCCGATGTGGTACGACATGTCGGCGGCTTTCCCGGCGGTCGGCGGGTTGGGCTCATACCCGATTGGGAATGTACATTTGGCACACCGTGCACCCCTGTGGCGAGCAACAGGGGGCGGTGGATCGAAGACGCCTACGGCGAAGCACCGCCGCCCCCTGCTTCTTGGAAGCGCCTGTGCGGCGTAGCGTCGTGGCCAGAGCTCGGCCACGCTATCGGACGGCGTGCCCCCCTCTAACCGTTGTGGGAACCCTTCGTGGAACACTTGGGGAGGAAGAGGAAGAGTTCGAGGGAGGAAAACGGAGAAGGAGGAGGAGACCTCTTGGGATCTTTTGGAGGCACTCTTTGGGCCTCCTGGGAGGTTCCCAGGGTCCTCTTGGAGGCCTCTTGGGGGCTTCCTTGGCCTCTTGGGGGCCCTCGGAGGCCCTGGATTGGCGTGCTTTCGCAGTTATGACCCCGGGGGCCCGTTGTCGGACTAGGTACAACTATGCATGACTATGTGGATCAAGATTGGCTTATGCACAGACCTGCCAGGGACGAAGGGCTGGCCCCGGGGAAGGGGTCGGAACCTCGTGGGCCGCGCAGTGAAAAGGCTTCTGTGTTCGCATTGCTGGATCTGCGCGCCTCTGCGTCGGCAACGACGGCCACGACGATCGTGGCGATCGTGGCGATCACGGCGGCGGTGGCAGCCCAGGGCACGCGCGCGATGCAGATCGCGGCGCACGGCGGGGACATCGACATGATGGACCTGCTCGTCGCGTACAGAGGACACGGCGGGGGGGGGGAGCGGTGCGGTCGAAGCTTTGGGTCAGCGTGCGTGCCGCGCCGCCAGCTCTGGCCCCCCCGCCCTTCGGCGATGCACGCCGACCGCGTGCCATGCTCCCCGAGCGTCAGCGCCCCGGCGTGGCCGAGGCCTCCCGCCCGGCGGAGCGGGGCGGCACGCTCTGCGCCACACGCTCGCGGGGCACAGCGTGCCACCGGGGCCGCCACCGCGGCACGCGAAGCAAGGGTTCCTGGCCGCAGGAGGGGGAGGGGGGAGGGGGGGGATCGAGGCTCGAGGATCGAGCCTCTTGAGCGGCTGAGTCTCACTGGGCCTGCGGAGGCCCCTGGGGACCTCTGGATACCTGGTCCGGGAAAGGGCGGAGTCGGAGGGAGGGGGCGGGAGAATGGAGCGGGGAGAGAGGGCATCCGAACCCTCCTTCCCATCCCTTCCCATTGCGCTGAGTGTGTTTTTGGCTGCCGACGCGCCAAAAGGGCCCCTATCGTGCTAAGCGCATTGAGAAGGAAAAAGGAAGCTGTGTAGGAGGGGGGAGGGACGAGCAGGAGCATGAACAGGAGGAAAGGTAGGAGGAGGAAGGAGGAGGAGGGAGGAGGAGGAGGAGGAGGACTGGGACGAACAGCTTCAGCAGGAGCTAGGGTGGAAGGAGCGGGAGGAGCAGGAGGAGCAGGGTAAGGCGGGGAGGGAACATGTCGGGGTGCGACAACGATGAGGAAGGACTTGGATCCAGAAATGAGGCCCGCACTGGGGCGAGAGTGCCATTCTGAACGACGAGAGCAAAGCGTCAATCAATGAGGCCCACGCTGCAGTGGCAGCACCATTTTGAAGGACCGATCGTAATTTCATTGTAAACCCCATACGACACACAACTTGTTGACATCCTGTGTGTCGGAAAGTATGCGGAGAGGGCCGAATATCGTCCGGACAGAATCAGGAGAGAGAAATGATCTTAGTATGCAGTGTTTGTAGTTGTAGAGGGTAGGAGGGGGATGGGGGAGGGGGGGAGGAGAAAATAATCAGCGTGGTCCCTAAACAGTGAGGTTGGGAATCTGGATGTGCAGGCGATGCGGTGGAAGCTGTCAAACCTATGCGGTGCATCATAGGTGATGATGGAAGATGTGTGGCGGACTCTTGCGAGTTGCAACATCGGCTGTAGAAGCTAAGTGTCGCATCCATGCTTTGGTGCAGGTCATGTGATTCAAGCTATGTGGTGCAATCTCCGTGGTGCAATAAGAAGTGGCGGGAGCTACGTAGAGGCTACGTGGTGAAAACTGATGATGCGGAGGTTGCATGGCACCTGCCG